CAATTGGTACATGAAGTTGGATGCTTTATGTTGATAAGATTGCATTGTTTTTATTAAGATTTGTCTAGATCTTGGAATAAGAATAATAACGTGTTTTGAAGCACGTTGAACAAGACCCCATTGATGACTCATTTGTGACCGCTCGAAATGAGACACCACTCGATTATCGAACAAATCACCTAAATCCTGAGCAAGTAATGTACATTTAATTGCTAGTTCAAGTTCTTTGAGGTACCAATGAGTAAAGTCTTAATTAGAAGATCAATCTCGATGCTTTGAGAATCTGGGCGAAGTAGTTAGAGATCATATACGTGCAATGGAATCCGTTAATCATCATGATGCGACGATCATCACTCTAAAATATTTTCTAAAAGGAATTGAACCTAAGCTCAGTAATCTGACGATGAGATCGGTGGACTTGGCGTTGTGATGAGATCACAACGAATTCGCCTTATGAAATGGGATTTGGAGGGAAATACATGTTGAAGGGCAAAACAGTCATTTTGTCGACTTCAACATATTGACGGTCAAACGGGGGTTGACTTGTTGAACGGTGGTCGGAAGATATTGTTATCGAATCATGATTGGATGTATGATTATCACATGTCATGTACATTAATGGAAACATATTTATCGCTTTATGGATGATGAATGAATGTATGATTATTACATGTCATGTAGATTAAATGAAACACCACTCGGTGCACTAAAATCTTATGCATTTGCATTTAATAATTTTTTATCACTCTAAATTAATTAGAAGTGACGAAAAATTATTATTAATAATTTAGTGCCATTATAATTGTTTATATTTGACCGAGTAATTATTAATGAAAATCTATATTGTTAAAATAATAAGTGGGAGAGGGTTTATAAGAATGTATAAACCGTGGCCTCCTCCGTCATCCACTTTGTTATTAATATACGTGTGTTTAGTATCGAATTACATCGGTCTCCCTATATGAAAACGATGTTATTTTTTATTAACGAAAATTTGATCTTGTAAATAGAAATTTTTAAAAATGGAATAAGTGGGGATTATCCTATAGATAACATCTCATGTATTTCGGGTATTTTTAAAATAATTGACAGAGGTTATTACACTTATACGTGAATATTTTTGGGGGACTTCCTATAGAAGATTCTAACAAAATTATTCATAGGCTAAATAATAATCAATCCTCATTATATTGTGGCATGAGATGCTGAGCTCAATAAAATGAGTGGGAGGGTCCCAACCTTGCCGTCAACTACATTGACCTCCTATGGAGGGCATGTTTAAAGTTGTAAGGGTTTAAGGTCTTTGTTTTAAAAAAATATAGTATTGGGGTCTATATTCATATACTCATATACATGCATCATACAAAGATTATTGTTCATTTTAATTAATACGCGAATCGTTAATTCCTTTCAACAAAATGTCGCTTAATCCATTATCAGTGATACTTAAACAAAATCAACTTGTGGGAGAAAACTATGTTGACTAGAAAAGAAATCTTAACATTATTCTTACCGCTGAAAAATAAAAAATTGTGCTGACTGAAATTTGTCACGAACCTCCTAAAGATAATTCCACAAAATCTCAAAAGGCTGCATATGAAAAGTAGCGTCATTCTAATGAGATAGCCCATTGCTACATTTTGGCATCTATGTCAAATGTGTTGTAACAGAAACATCACAATATCGAAACCGCTTTTGACATGATGCGTTCAAAAGATGTTCGAACATCAAAGCCGACAAGCTAGGCAAGCTTCCATTAGGGTAATTATGAACACGTGCATGAAACTAGACACATCTGTGAGGGGCCACATGTTAATCATGATTGGTCACTTCAATGCTGTAGAGGTTTTATGAGCTAACATTGATTCCGAGACACAGATTGACATGGTCCTAGAGACTCTCCCTAAGATGTTCTCACAGTTCATAATTGATTATAATCTACACAAGATGGACATGGCTCTGACGGAATTAATGAAAGAGCTCCAAAAGGCTGAAACGGTTCTCAAGGTCAGATGTGGAAATGATATGTTTGTGACAGCCGGATCCTCTCATCCTAAGCCTTCTAGTGGCAAAGGAGGAATCAAGAGGAAGAGGTCAAGCAAAAAGCAAGATGGCAAGTCAAAGGGAAAGAAAACCACTGCTGATGGGAAACCAAAGGAAAGTGTTTTTCTTGTGGACAGAAGGGACATTGGAAGAGAAATTACCCGGATAACCTAGCTAAGGGGAAGCAATGTAAAGGCAAATACCCTATTCATTGAGTCATACTTAGTGGTTGATTCTACTAGGACCTGGATTGTAGATTCTGGAGCCACTAATTATATATGCAATTCTTTGCAAGGGTTCCAGGAAATCAAGCACCTTCGTGAAGGGGGATACACTCTCAGAGTCGGCACTGGAGCAATAGTGTCCGCCAAAACAGTTAGCACCTCTACTTTATGTTTTGAGAATCGTAGACATTTGATTTTGGATGACTGTTATTATGTTCCTGAACTTACACGAAACTTGGTTTCCGTTGCACTTTTATATCGTGTTGGTTATTCAGTACTTTTTAGCCATTCTACGATAGTTATCAAGTTAAATAATTTTGTTATATGTTCGGGTCATATGGTTAATAGTCTCTAGGTCTTAAGTCCTATGATTAGTTATATACATAACACTACTACTACTACTACTACTAAGAAAAGAAAGAGATCGTCTAATACCAATGAAACTCTCTTATGGCATTTTAGGTTGGGTCATATTAATCTAAACAGGATCCAGAGATTGGTAAAGGATGGACCTTTAAATGAGTTAGAGGTGGAATCTATACCAACATGCGAATCTTGTATAGAAGGAAATATGACCAAAAGACCTTTTAAGGCTAAAGGACCAAGAGCTAAAGAAGTTTTGGAATTTGTACATTTCGATGTTTGTGGACCCATTAGTAGTCGGGAGAGGAGGATTTGAGTACTTCATCACCTTTACGGATGATTACTCAAGATTTGGATACATATACCTTATGTCTCACAAATCTGAAGCTTTGGAAAAATTCAAGGAGTTTCGGACGGAAGTTGAGAAACAATTGGATAAGAGTATCAAGGTTCTTCGATCTGATAGAGATGGCGAATATCTATCCCAAGAGTTTAAGGTCTACTTATCGGATAGTGTAATATTATCTCAACCGAGTGCACCAAGAACTCCCCAACAGAATGACGTCTCAAAAAGGAGAAATCTAACTCTTTGGATATGGTAAAATCAATGATGAGTTATTCTTCATTACCTATTTCTTTTTGGGGATATGCACTACAAACAGCCATTTATATCTTGAATTTAGTACCATCTAAGTCAGTTCCCAAGACGCCCCTTGAATTATGGAATGGGCTCAAACCTAATTTGTATTATATTCGGATATGGGGATGTCCGACACATGTGCTAAAGGGAAGTTTGTAAAGACGGATAAGATGGGATCAAGATCAGAAGTTTGTCTCTTTGTAAGATATCCAAAAGGAATAAGAAGTTATTACTTCTATAGTCCTCTAGATAAGAAGGTATTTTTTAGTACAAATGCAACCTTCTTAGAAGACAAGTACATAGAAGAACACAACTCTACTAGTAAGATTCTATTGGAGGAGTTAGAACATAGTTCAAACAACTCGGTTCAAATTTCCGCATAGAATCAAATATTTATGACTTGGAACCTCCTACAGAACCAATGGTCACGGATGAGGTAAGTGAGTATGTGATGCCCACAGTATTTCTTGAAATAGAATCAGAGGTAGTAGAGAACGAGGCACCCATCCCAATGGGGATAATGAGGAGGTTGGTCTTGACCAAGGACATGACTAAGTAGTGGGAAAAGATGAAAGATCTTCGGTCAGATTGGACAATCAGGTACCTTCAACCATTACTCGTAGTGGGAGGATTGTTGGGCCACCTTCTAGATACTTGCTCTATGGAGAATCCTATCAGGAGATCTCTACTGAACAAGAAGAAGATCCCACTTCGTTTAAGGAAGCAATGGAGGATGTAGACTTTGAATCATGGAAATCTGCCATGAACTCAAAAATGGAATCTATGTATTCTAACCAAGATTGGGATTTTGTGAATGCACCTAATGGGTTCAAACCTATAGGGTGCAAGTGAGTCTATAAAAGGAAAAAGGGAATAGATGGAAATGTTGAAACCTTCAAAGCAAGGCTAATGGCCAAGGGTTTTACCCAAAGAGAAGGTGTCGACTATGAAGAAACCTTCTCACCGGTTGCCATGCTTAAATCTATTCAAATACTTTTATCCATTACCGCTCATTATAATTATGAGGTTTGACAAATGGATGTTAAGACAGCCTTTTTGAATGGGCATCTTAATGAGACTATC